GCCCACCTGAACAGGTTGTCCTTCTTGTTCAAATCTTGTGATATTCGGACGTTGAATTGGTAAAATACGCCATCGTGTATTAGAGACGGCATGCTCACTCAAATATATAGGATATAAGCCACACAAACCCGGGATCGGATTAGGATCGTATCTTACAAATAGAGGCTAGAATGTAAATGATGTAAAAATATGAACAATTTTAATATGCGATGCTATTATGACAATCTATTCAGTACTGTTATGGCGTAATGGTATGGCATAGTGATAATGGTAAATCACAAAATAAGTAAATTAAACGCAATAAAATCCGAAAAAATAGTATTATTCAATAGTTACTAAATAGTTATATCAGATGGAATAGATTATATATAACTGGTAGCATTTTTACACGTGATATTTCAGAATAGCAAGAACATAGTCCGTCAATCATAACCGCCATTTTTAATATATCGACAATATCATATACTGAATGATTTTTCCGCAGCCCTATGCATGCCTTACATTTAGATCAACCCTAAGTTACAGATTTTTTTAAACAGACAATTTAATTGCACAGTGATAAGATGCAAAGAATGTTAAAAACATAAAGGGGTAAAAGAGAATATACTAATTTATAATGTCAACCTCAACGTATAACGGTTGTAGCTTTGGCTACCGATTATAATCCATCGAAAATGAATAAATCCAACCTAATATCGGACCCAAAACCCACACACTAGTGACGGAGAGCAGCATTAACAAAGCCATGACATCGGCTATGCATTCGTCAACCATTATGGTAATTATGGCTATATTCCTAATAGAGGCCAAGTGTGAGTTATAAATATTTTTTATTTGCATAGTTAAAATATTAAAATTTGAGTAGTAGAAGTAAGAGTTGAGTTAAATCTATATTTTCTAGAGTCATTCACGTTGGAGATGTATTTTCGTTGTAGAATGAATAGATCCTATATTGCTGCTGTGTTTGGTATGGCGAGTTACGGAACCGAATACTTTTAATGGTAACGAGGCATTTCATGTTAGTTTTCAGGGGTAACAACAGATCAGTTTTTGGTACTTAATCGAAGACAGGTGCTGGTGACTATGGGTCGCAGCATCCACTATCAGGTGGACTATTTGCTCGTTTGTCACACTAACTTATATGATTTATATCAATCAGCGTGTGAAAAGTTGACAAAAAATTGGGAAGTAACTAACATTTATTATTTTTTTTGCAATGGTTGTCAATATGTTGTTCATAAAACCTTACTGAGTTTATAAAATTAGGACTACAGATTTTACACAATTACAAAATGAGTGTACCTTTTTGTTTACGGATGAAGCTAGCGTAAGAAGAAACTCTTGATTATATTTTAGAATTTCTCCTTCTCGATTACAATAGTCTGAGCTAGAAATAACAAACGTGTTTCTGTTTGCTGGCTCCAATCCTGTCAGCCCTACTACAGAACAACCATTAACTAGGTCTTGAAAATAATCAATTTCATTCGAAGATATTCGTCCACCTAACAGAAGACCCTTCTTGTCATTCATCGGAGGATCGGTGGCTGTAAAAATATAGGTGAATTTGTTTTATGAGTGAGATACATATAAATAGAGAGCTTAATCTTTATTGAGACAAAAAAGGCTATTGAATTTTTCTTATTCCGAACATTCGGCAAGGCTGAAGCGCTAAATATTCGGCCGCTAGATCCGCTGCTTCAACTTCTAAATCACAAATTATGACCAATTATAAAACACCATATTCTTTCAAAGCTTTTAAGCTCATCGTAAGTCGTAATCTGGGCTCATGACATGTGAATCTTTAGCGACAGTGAGATGGCCTATAACAGTGTATTATAACAGTTTATATGAAACTATCGATCCGCCTCGTCTTCGCACGGGTGATCTCTAGGTCTCGTCAAAAGTAACACCTACCGGGTCCAATAGTAAATTTAAAGTATCCGGGAATCCACTCAAACACCCACAAAAAAAATCATCAAAATTGGTCCTGTCGTTTAGGATGAGTTCAGTGACAAACACACGTACAGAAGAATTATATATATAACTAGCGATCCACCCCGGCTTTGCTCAGGTAATTTCTGGGTCTCGACAGCAGCACCACCTACCGTATCCAATTGTGGACCTAAACCATCCAGAGACCCAAACGCAAATAAAAAATTTCATCAAAATCATTCGAGCCGTTTTCGAGCAACAGACATCAATTCATTTATATATATATATATGAATTGCTGCTGCTGAAAAACATATGTATAAAAATTAAGACAACGTTATCAGCTGTGGGTATTACAGGGCAAACAAGCTGGGTTCAAGTACATTAAAAATATGTAATTCCATACATACTGGAAATTTATTGAAGTGAAACTTCTTTATCGGCGTAGTGGAGAAATTTAGTACAGTATTAAAAATCAAAAACGTCACGTTTTCTTGTAACGATTCTTCCACGGGGTTGCATGATTACCTTTATTATTGTTTAACCAACTTATGTAAATATAAAATAAAAGAAGAATGATATGTCGTAAAGAAGTTTCCTTTCGAATAAAACTACTTTTTACGGATTTTATCGCGCTTAATTTACTATTTTAATTTCCGACGTTTCGGGTGCTTTACAGCAACCCATGGTCATGGCGGGAGGGAAGGGGGGGGGGTTGTTTGACGTCCCGATGTCACAGTTAGCCCGGCTAACTTCAGTTTTAATATTAATTTGTGGTTCGATTTACGCAGAATGCACTTACAGTATCTTGAAGTCTAGCAGTGGTATGCTTGGGTTTGGATTTAATTTAGTTAATTATAAGATCTCAAGCAGATGGCAGCAGCCATCCATCTTCTCTATTGAAATTAGGATGTTTTTTTAATTTCAATAGCCTCGCGTATCATCCTTGGTAGGAATCGGTGTTCTTTTGCGAGGATTTGTGGTCTATCAAATCTGATGTAATGGCGGGGACGATCTTGAACATGTTCACAGACTGCAGACTTCCCAGAGCGTCGGTGTTTCACGTCAGCTATATGTTCTATCACACGGGTTTTAATGGACGTTCTCTAAAGTTTAGTTAAGTTTCCCTTCGTACGTGTGTTGTGTACACATTACAAGCACATTTTTTTTTCAATAAAAATTTATTAAAACCTTTGATGGTGTATTTCGTAAAACCATTCTGGTACTTAAATGCACAGCATTTACAAGGCATTCTTGAATAATATGTGAACGTTTGGCAGGTTATGAACGTCCGCATAAGTATACTAATATAAAGAATTTTGTTTTGTAGTTTAACCTAGGTCGTTTAGTCTAAGTTGATAATTTAACATAAATATTTACCTGAAACATAAGGTGCAAGCAGTGTGATCCGTGCGCCAAAACTGATACTTCCTGTTGATTGTGTCAATATTGTTGGTTGGTTAAGATTCTTCGTCATTGTACGAAATCTTGCGAGTAGTAAATCACCATTTTTCATCTGTTTCATGAATTTATTTAATTTGTGCTAAAAATATAATATGTATGGTAGAATTATATTCGTTGCTATCATTTTATAATAAGGATCTCATGGCTATTAGTTATTGCAAAATTTTAATTTATACACTAACCTCTTCAAGCATAGTGGATTCATACCAGTTACCGAGAAGAACTCGATTAGAATAGACGAAACCTTTTTCCATTTCGGTTTTAATATTAAAGGACATTAAAAGAAAATTTATGATACAAAATGTACTAAAAATAAAGTTATGTCAAAATATTACTCATAGACTACCTATATAATATTAATGATAAGTCACTTTTTAATAGACATATAATATAGTGTCAACTTTCGAAAAGTATCGTGATTGCATAAAGTATCTCCCACACACAAGCGGCTTGCGGTGGCGGTTAACCGCGAACCGCGACTCCAGCCGCTGTAACAACACACCACCGCGGTCGCAGCGGCTGGAGTCTGAGGCTCCATTCGCTGTGGTGTCTGTGCTACGATTGGACGTCAGTAAACATTGCTAACCGTGACGAAGTCTTTTTATATTCAGCGATATTATCACATATTTTGTTTTTCATCCTAATGCTTTTGTAATTCCGATGTGAATTATCATAAAGTACTGGATAATGTTGCTCTGTTTCTATTACAATCTCTGAATTTAGCGTTTTAAGCGTCTTAAGCTTCTCCCACATAGAAGCGGCTCGCGGTGGTGGCCGCGGTGGAGGTCAGTTGTATTCGCATTGTAAACTCCTAGTAAAACGCACAGTCATGGACCGCCAAGCATCCAGATGGTGAGGATGATATCGTGAATTTTGACGCGATGTGCGTTCGTGAAATTTGGCGGCTGGAATTAATCCGAACAATTCCTCAGAGCACTGCCCGTGGTAAATTCAACATCCCTACGCTGTGCCAGTGTATCGAGCCGATCAGAAAGAACTCGGTCGTCGACGATTCGAACCGCTCTGCGCTGGATGCGGTTAAGTGGAAGGAGCTGGCACTGGGGTGACCCAGCCCAGATATGAGAACAGTATTCCATGTGAGGCCGAACTTGTGCTTTGTAAAGTTGCAAGCGATGTGCCGGCATGAAATACTGTCTCGCTCTGCTGAGCACGCCAAACTTTTTAGAGGCCAATTTGGCCTTCCCTTCCAAGTGACCATGAAACTACACACTATTCGATATGTCGACGCCGAGGATTCCGTGCTTAACGCAACACGGGTCGCCGATGTACAGGACGGGAGTAGCGGCCTTTTTTTTTTTTTTTTTTTTTTTTTTACGTGGGGAAATCCTCATGGATACCTTCCGCTACGGGGGCAACGAAAAGGTTATGCCGGACTCATACCGGCTAAAACCCCACGGTGGTCACCATCAGCGTATACGAGGGGTCCCGGGATCTCCGTTCGGAACGCAACCGGGGCCCCTCCGTCGCTTTGCTACACCTATAGCACGTCCCGGGGACAGTAATTGCTGCCCCCAGCACCCTCGCAGTGCTATCACGATGTCTCGAGACCACTTCCGAGTCATCGTCCTCCTCAGGGGTTACATAGCTAGACGCTCGAGGCCCCCGCCCCGAGCGTCTGCAACCCCGGAGGCCCCGTTTCTGGTAGGGGAACACCGTTTTCAATAGGAGGGCCGTGACGAACGCCTTGGCGACGTCGTCTCCGTGCGGGATCCGCCCTCTCCCGATCCCGCTCAGAAGCCTCCTTCTGAGTCATAACAGATTCACAGAAGGTGGCTACGGCCCTCCACGCCGAATCCCCGCTCAGCATCGCCGACACGACTGCTGGCAGGGAGAGGTCCCGTCCAATGCGGTTCACCAGGATTGTCCGCTCCCGTTCCCACGCTGGGCATACTGCGAGCGTATGAGAAGCGGAGTCCTGGTCCTGTCCATCACAGTGGAAGCAGTTCGCCGTCGCCTCGCGTCCGATCTTACACAGATAATCACCGAAGCACCCATGCCCGGTAATTATCTGTGTAAGTCTGTAGGTGAGTCTTCCTACTCGTCGCTGCATCCAGGCATCGAAGACCGGCAGGATTGCTCCAATGACGCGTTTGTATTCATAGCGCTCCTCGAGTCGAGTGCGCCATGTCGCTAGGGCGTTTTGTCGTTCCTGCCGTTTAACTGATTCGAGCGCCTCTTCTGGCTCGCTACCACCGCTCTGGCGGAGGGCACGGATTCGGTCGTACACCCTCGCATCCATCTCCGCCAGTATATCTAGTGGTGGAAAGCGAGCCAGGATTGTCGCCGCCTCAAAGGATATGGTGCGGTATCCTCGTACGATCCGTATGGCCATCCTCCGCTGGACACTGTAAATTTTAGTTCTACAGCGTCGGATGGCCAGCCTTTTTGCCCATACAGGCGCTCCATACAGAGCTACGGACCGTATAACTCCTGCATAGAGGCGACGTACTTCCTCCGTCGGTCCCCCTAGATTGGGCAGCAGTCTATGCATAGCACCCGCCACCCTTTCGATCCGGGGGACTAGGCGCTCGAAATGTTCTTCGAAGCCCCAGCGACTGTCAAGGTGGAGGCCTAGGTACTTCATGTACCTCCCCACTCTGACTTCGGACCCACCCACGCGGACGCACGAGTTGGGTGGTTCCCTGCCCCGTGGTAATTTATGGAACCATAGGGCCTCGGTCTTGTGAGGCGCTATTTCTAGACCCAACTCGTGGATTTTGGCGACGACGACTTCCACCCCAAGTTCGGCGAGCTCCTTGGTCCTCTCGAAAGTTATCCCGCTGGCAATCACCAAGGTGTCGTCGGCATAGCACACGATATTTACGCCAGCGGGAAGGTCGACTCGCAGAACCGCATCGTACGCGAGGTTCCACAGTAGTGGTCCCAGCACCGAGCCCTGTGGAACCCCACGTCTGATCTCCCTCCGAATCTTTCTACCATCTTTCGCCATGTACACAATGTACCTGTCGCGCAAGTAGTCCCCAATAATACCATGCAGGTAGGGGGGCACTTGATGATGTGCCAGTGCCCTTCTGATTGCGTCCCAGGGTAGAGAGTTAAAGGCGTTGACGATATCAAGACTTATCGCCAACGCCACGCCACCCCGTGATACTGTTTGTTCCGACAGGGAGCGGACGCGCATAATCGCATCTACAGTGGAACGCTCCCGTCGGAATCCAAATTGGCTGTCAGCCAAATCGGGACCGACGCGCGACAGATGCCCGCTGAGCCGAGTGGCAACTATCCTCTCGAACAATTTGCCAATCTCGTCCAGCAGGCATATGGGTCGGTACGCAGAGGGAGAATCTGCAGCCCTGCCGTCCTTCTTCAAGAGAACCAGCCTTGCCTCTTTCCAGGCTGTGGGGAATTTGGCACACCGCAGACAGCTGGTAAACAGTTGCCTGAGCCTGTTCCCCAGAGCAGCCAGACTCAGCACTAGGGCCCGGCCCGGGATTCCGTCGGGACCCGGTGCTGTGTTCCGGACTTTTAGGCGGCTAATGGCTCGGTCCAGCTCCTCAACGGTCACCCCCATCTCCTCTTGCCACACCCATGAAGACGGCAGGTGACCTTCGGGACTTGACCGGTCCTCTGGAAAGAGCGTGCTGATTACCCTTTCCAGAAGATCCGGGTCGAGAATCTCCGTCAGAGGGGGCGACCAGGGCCGGAGCTTACCCAGCACCATCCTGTATGGGCGCCCCCAGGGATCTTTGTTGAGTCCCTCCAGAAGCTCTTTCCAGGACCGAGACCTGGCGTTGGTGATGGCGATTTGCAACGCCTTTGTAGCCGCTCGGTATGCCCCGTAGAGTCTGGCTATCTCTTCAGGCGGAGCTCGCCGTCTTCTCCTGCGGGCTCTAGTGTACTGGCGCCGACACCGTAAGCAGATTGCACGGAGCCGTGCGATTTCTGCTGACCACCAGTACGCTGCTTTGCGCTTAGGGCGACTGATTCTGGGCATCGACAGGTCGCAAATTTGCGCCATCGTACCTCGAAACCAGTTCGCTTCCCCTTCAGGATCGGACTGTACCTCTTCGGCGTTTTCTGGCCAGGACGCGACGATGGCGGCGGCTTCGAGCTTATCTTGATCGAGCCGCTTGAGACACCAACGTCGCGGTGGGCTGCTATCTCGGCGACTGGGATTACTGTCGGGCTGTCGAAGTGCGACATTGAATACGATGTGGCGGTGGTCAGACAAGGTGACCACCTCCTCCGCCACTCGCCAGCCCGACAGCATTTGCATTGCAGGAGGAGTTGCCCACGTAAGATCCACGATGGACTCCCCCTGCCACCGTACACATGTGCTTACGGACCCCTGATTCATCAATCGGAGGTCCAGTCCAGCCGCCCATACCATCACTGTCTCTCCCTTGGGATCGTCTCTAGAGTTGCCCCAAGCCCTTGTGTGGGCATTAAAATCTCCCAGAGCGATCAACGGACGAGGTTGACATTCGCGAATACAATTCGCCACCTCGTCTAGGTACGCCTCGTAGTCGGCAAGGGACCTATTAGGAGAGACATAGCAGCCCACTATGGCCAAGGGGCCCCATTGCACTGCAACAAAGCCCTGCCCTCTTCTCAATAGAGCGCAGGGTGGGGCACCCTCTCCACCACTCCAGTAGATGGCGACGGAGCCTGATTCGTCACCGAACCAGCGAGGATGGTCGGGGACGGCATAGGGCTCTGCTACTACTGCAAGGGCAACCCGCCACTCCGCAATGGTTTGCATGAGCAAATGCTGCGCATTACGGCAGTGGTTCAGGTTGCCCTGGAGGACTTTAAGGGGTGCGAATTTCTAACTCAGCCACCTCCATAGCCGAGCTAGTACTCGGAGCAGCGACAGAAGTCGTTGTGGCCGCCTTGCTGGTGGGTGCAGAGATCTCACCATTCTTCCTTCCCTTTTTTTTGGGAGGAGGCATACACTTCTTCCCTAATCTGTGGCCAGCAGAATGCCCAAGATCGGAACAGAGGGGACATTTTAGTGCCGACGCAGTACACTGTTTCGCCCTGTGTCCTTGCTCTCCGCAAGCATAACAACGTGCGCCTCTGTTTGTTTCACTGGAGCACCTGCTGGCAACGTGCCCCCTTTCTAGGCACCGAAAACAGTGCATGGGCCTGGGCTCCAGTAATTCTACTCGAGCAGACCCCCAACCCACGCGCACTCGCCCAACAGCCGTAATCTTGCGGACTGCCGTCACTGGGCACCGCACCCAGCATGTCCCCATGCTAGTGGGATTTCGGCGGATTTCCCCGACTTTTATATCATCCACCGAGCAATCTCCTGCCTCAGCCATAGCTGCCGCAACCTCCAAAGTGCTGACGGCGTCGTCGAGGTCCCTCAGTCGAACATCGCTAGTTTTAACTGGCCGATTGATCCGCACGTTTAGGTCTGAGAGAACCTCACGCATTTTGGCCGCCAGCTTGTCCGCCTTCGCGCCGCAATCCGGACCCTTAATTTCCAGCAGGAGTCCTCCGGTTACTGCCCGCTTCTGGCGGACTGTTTCGATGCCAAAATCTGCCAAGTGTATTTTGGCCTTTGCCTCCTCCATTACTTTGGCATAAGTGACAGTGGAGCTGTCTGACACCGTAACTGTTACGGCCGCAGATGTTGGGGCACGCAATAATTTCTTGTTTTTCCGCCTTTCTTTCGGAGCACCGGAAGGTGATGCCATCGCGGCGATCTGCTTATCGGTGCCCCTTGGTTTTTTGGGCTTTTTAGCCACTTCAACCCACGAAGTGGCATTGTGCGGTACCGGGTTATTCGATACCGTCGCAACCACAGGGGGAAGATCGACCAGCGGTGGGTAAACAGGCTTCTTTTTCCTCTTCGACCTTTGCCTTTTCGTCTTCTGTGGCTGCGACGATGGAGCCGATTGCAAAGGTGGTGATAGCCGTTGAGGTAGCGATAACTCACCTCGACTCGCACCTGCCAATGGAGGTCGGATCACCCTATCGGGAAATATCTTGGCCTCAAATATTGCCAGCTTTTCTTCGATTAGGGACCCAATGCGCTCCATGAGGTCTCCCTCTCCATGCTTGGCCTTGTGGTGTGCTAGCACCGGTCGGTTGGACATGGCTGCTATGTTCGGAGGATGGGTATTTTGCGTTTCCTGCTTGCGGAGGAGATAAATCTCCTTGGTTAGTTTTTCCGTTTTGGCCGCAAGACTGGCCAGCTGTGATCGCAATTCCTCGTTCTCCTTTTCAAGCCTTTTAATGTTTTCGCTTGTCGTGGTCCTTCGCGCAAGTTCTTCGGTCGCCGCCTTTATATTACGCACAGCTAGCCTTATACCCCTCACGAAATTGCCTTTTAGGTTGCGAGATCTATCTGCTACCTTTTCAACGGCCTGAAGATTTATTTCAATTTGTTGGCCAAGCTCACTGTCACTATGCATTGACATTTCGCGGGCCAACTCCTCCGGGTCAGGCAGGCTTTTCTTCGCCCTAGTGTTTGTGAGTGTTACGGAGGGGTCGAAAAGATCCTCCTCTGTTTCGATGCCTGTTGCGGCCTCTTCTTCAGAGGCTGTGGCTGACACTGCCGCAAATTTAGCGGCCACAACCGCAGCACTTGGGGGCTTGGCCTTACGCTTTCTTCCCCCTTCCGATGGGGCCGATTTAAGCGATATGGACGAACAATCGGACACGCCTCCATCGCTTACAATCGCCTGATTTGCCGGCGTATTGGGGCGCTTAAAGCGCCCACGCTTTTCTCGTGTCGGCACCGTTGTAACACCCGACACGGCTCCTTCCTTATTACTTTGCCCCTTAGATGTTGTGGGACCCGCGGTTGACGCTTGTGCGTCCCCGCGATGCAGTGGATTGCCCCCCCCAGATACGATGGGGCTGCCACAGAGCTTATTTAAGCTGCTGGGGGTGGACTCCCCGCTTTTGGCGGGACCACCCTGGGGAATAGATTTTTTGTCGCACTGCATTTTTTGTATCCTTTTTTTATACAGGGTGAGGTCCCTGAACCCCTAACCCCCCCAAAGGCTTGGGACTGGGCTCCCCCCCAGCCATTCATCCCCTTGGCACCTAAGACCTTAGGATTAGGGTTATTTTTGAAGAGGTTTTCTTCCTCGCGGCCTTGCAGGGCCCCCGGGCCCTAGTGGGCTTACGGGTTGTCCGGCATAGGTGCACTTGGCACATCGCCGCACAGAGGTTGCCCGGAATCGGTGCGCTTGGCACATAACCGCGCGGGGTCACCCAGCATTGGTGCGCTTGGCACATCGCCGCGTGTGTTGCATCCCGTGTTCGCTCTAATCAAAGAGCGATACCGGGAGCAACAACAAGCCTGTGAAGGCCCGTCTCTTCGGGTGTTTAGCCCCGGCCGTTTCTGGTCCTATTGGAACCACGGGTACGCCCATACCCGGCCAGTTTTGGTCCGCGGCGGTTTCCCGCTACCACCCATATCTGAGTGGCGTTCCCCTATCCGCCACCTGGGGACGCGCCCGATGGGAGCTCTGGCAACTCCACACGGGGGGAGTAGCGGCCTTACGCAGGCGTTCCCCTGTGCCAAAGTGTAAGTCCATATATGACACAGCGGCTCTAGAATCTACTAGCTAATCTGTGGCCCTATGTTTACAATAAAACTAGTTGCACCCGCACTGCTCACTAGACTAAATTTAGTAGCGCGGCTGAATCGACGTCCTACAAAAATGCCAAATAATTCAGTATTTTGCTGCAAAAAGACTACCATTCATTTGTAAGTAATTATTTATAATATTAGTACTATTAATTTCTTTTTAATCGTAAAAATTACAATGAGTAAGTCCATAGTTGCCATAGTAACGACCGTGTTGTTTCGGATTTGTTTATCACCACAGGCCACTCGCTCTCACACAATTTGCGTGGCAAATATGGTCTATACAGCATGTTTCTTGTGCATATAATTATTTTTGAGATTATGTTTTCTGGTTTATATTTAATATATATTGTGAGCTTTATTATAATATAGTTAAATATTAAAACTGCATCAAATTAAATATAATACAATACGAGTATAAAAGGCTTCAAGCTATACATTATATTAAAATTACTGAGAGTGAACTTCGACCATATTGTTTTTTATTTATTTATTGCAGGTTTCCTAAAGATCAGAGTTTAAAGGATACATGAAAGTTCTTTTGTTAATAACAGGCTTACCTGGCTTCCCACAAGAAACAGTGTCGTTTGATCATTTCTAGACCTCTGACTTTCAAATGTTGGGCGAGGCGAAAAAGGCGATTGGTCGAGACTACCAAGCCAACTTTAATACCACACTGTATTATTTTTCCGTAAGCTTTTTTTACATCATGGAGAAGACAAACTAGCGTACAGTCAACTTGATGGTAAGTAAACTTTGGCCCATGGATATTTACGATCTGAAGGCCAACAAACCGCTACAATCAAATGCTCGTAATGTTAAACCATAAATTAATATATGTCAAACGGGGATATACTTCTCCTTTGATCCGTTGCTGTGTTTTGGCATAAGGACAAGGTAATTTTATCTCTTGTCAGTGGATATAATCGGGGGATAAATTTTTCGTCCCCAGCCCATGCTGGCCGTGCATAGAATAGAATAATTTTTTATTCAATATAGATCACATGTGTAATTATTATTGAAAGTCATTTTTCACTGGTTCGAAAAAAAACCTCTGTCCTGGGAAGAACCAGCATGAAACCCAGCGGTACTTTTTTTTTAAAGCAAATTTTACAATAATGGTTGTACAAACTATATAAGTACAAAATTTATTTTAGAAACAGCTTGGAAGCGATCACCCAGGGGTTATTATCAACCATGTATTCATTTATACTATAATAACCCTTTTATACAGTTTCAACTTAAAAAATATAAAAGACTATCATCTAACGATGCCATTAGTGCCACTCTCACTATTCCTGATTCGTTGACATCTGCATGGACAACATCAACTCCTACACGTGCGAGTTTCCTTTTAATAGTTTACTGTAGATAACATGTTTGAATAAAATAAATGGTTACATATTTATCAAATAGAAATTTCTACTATTTTATTATTGAGATTGAGTAAGCTGCATAGAAAGATGATAACAGTCTATTAATTTTTAGGCTTGTTCAAAGGAATCATTGCTTAAACCGAGAAGACAAAAAATGCAGCAACACCTATATTATCAGCAAAAAAATATTAAAAGGGTCCAAGCTATAACTCTTTTTTTTAAATAAAAGAGGTGCTGAGTTGAAAAAAATCCTCAGAATCTGGATGAATTTTTTATAGATATTTAAACAGAACTTGTTAAGCGTTAACTTAAGAAAAAATGTAAAAGTGAGAAGCTTTCACTGTACTGTTGTGTAATCAAATAAAAATCTAGTATACCCCGTATATCTAAAAGTTATACCAGGTAAATGAAAATATAATTCATTACTTTAACTGACGTGAAGCGCTAACACTCTGAAAAGTGTGCTTGGAGGATGAAGCTGCTCGCGTCCGTAGGAATAATTTGAATCCTGACTCCCTACACGTATCCCATGGGTAGTGCTAAACGAGCAGAATTATATACTGGTCGTAGATTAGGTGGTACCTCTACTAGTGAGAGGCCGGCCAAGGGTTAGTTACCACCCACCGGGCAAAGACATACCGCCAAATGACGCAAGTCGTGTTCCGGTATGATGTTAGGTGAAACCCATATCTTTGGGAGAACGGGTATGGGCAGTTGCCTTGCGCATAAGAACCGGTTGCGACACGGCGGTATCTTAGTGTCAAATGCCAGATTATGAAGGTTAGAGGGATCCGAAGCACGGTTGCACCGCTGGCAGACTGTAGGTAGTTGTGGGCCCAATTAATGAGCCAGCCACTCATGAAAGGCTGTCTCCATCTTACGAAAAATCCTAGGATGGCTCCATCATGCCGGTTGGCGACAAGAGGAGAGGGCCTGGTGATGATTTTCAGGGGATTCGTAAGTGCCCGCCATCTTCATGCTAGGTACCATCGATGCTGTGACTCTGTTTGTGTCCCTAGGTTATATGTGTGGCGCCTCGTCCAACTGCCATTCTCTCAATCTATTCACTCCACCAATTAATAATAAAAGAAAAAGAAGAGTAAATCTGTACAGCGGTTGCACTCCCTCTCCATCAAAGTGCACCTCACAAACATCCGTGGCCTACACTGTAATCTCAATGCAGTCCACTACTACCTTGAGACTGATAAGCCGCACTTACACTTCTTGGTTGAGACGCATATCAGATGTCCTTTAGATGCGGCGTGGAGTACACAGTCCACCTGATGGTAAGTGGTTACTGTGACCCATAGACATCTACATCTATCCTCAATAAAGACTCAAGACGCAGATGCGTTGTCACCCGTGAGGACTAAGATGGAATGCCTCTTTGCCAGTAAAAAGGGTCTCCGGTTCTCTACACTCATTATACGAAACACAGCAGCGTTAAGCTACTATTTTACGCTGGTTTTCTGTGAGAGCGTGGTCCTTCCCCGGTCGAGCCGACCCATTCGTGCTACAACCATAATATAGCTGCAGCATGGCTCTACCACGTTAAAAATTTAAACATTGGAGCATAATTTCCACCAGTGCTTACGTCCGCAACGACATCTGCTGTAGGCGCCACCGTCACCTTGAAGACCTCACTTTCTTCACGATCTAGGTATTGATAGATACAGGAATGGATAAAATTATTTATTCTTGTGTCTACCGTATTACACAGCGGCGGCTCTTGATCGGTATCCTACTGCACGGCTGGTTGGTGAATGTAATAACAAATATTAAATAAATAAAAAAAATGAGTCACGCTTAGAGTCATGCGTGGTTCGATCTTTGAGACAAGCATACGACTACTTCCAGGAGTAGTCAGGGAGTTTTGTACATCATACGACTTTTGCTTTTAGCAGTGTATTGAGACATGCACGGTTTGGCCTTTGAGAAAAGCATATGACTAGCTTAATTTTTTTACCCGCTACAATTCATCTAGCCACAGGACCGACCATCGAAAGTTGATAAGGCAGACATTTGAAAGATCGGCCGTGGGCACTACAGTTATACGATCAGCAAGTAAATAACGTTTACCATACAACTGTACTGAAACAAAATGACTTAATCATCAAGACAAGCCTTTTTTTTTTTTTGCGGATGGAAAATCATCAAATGACGCCTTTCGCTCTGGGTGGAGCGGAAGGGAGTGTCAGACTTTTACTGACTAAAAACCATCCGTGTTCCTTCAGTGCCCTTACATTCCGGAGCCGCGGTATCTCTTTCGAACAGCCCGCAGCCCCGGCAGGCGTCGGCCCTTGCGGGCCCCTTCACGCTGCTGCCAGCTCTTTGAGGCGCGCGTGGAACAAAACGCGCCGTCGACACGGCCTATCGTCGTTAGACGGACGGACGGCGAGCTACCCATTGCTCGCCGTCCACAGGCCCGCGCCTACGGTGGCCGGGGGCCACGACGTAGCCCCCGACGCCCGGGGCGTCTCCCGCGGCGGCCGGGAAGGAAAGCTGCTGCTCTCTCCTTCTCCCGCTCCGCCACCTCCTTCGCTAGCATCACTGCTTCGCAGAAGGTGGTGACGGCATCCCATTCCGTCTCGCTCCGGACCATGGCTTCGACCAGGGCCGGACGCGAGAGGTCGCCGCCGCCTATCGCCGCTACGAGGACACGGCGGTGCTCCGCCCAGGCAGGGCACACCTCCACGGTGTGCTCCACCGTGTCCTCATCAAGACAAGCCTACAAACTACTTGCAGAATCAACTGGGAAGTTTCGTGTATTTTGCAACTTAAATAATAATGTAGCTTGAAAAACTAAACTGCACTCTTCAACAACTGATTGATCCTATATAACTAAAAAAAGAACTTCGTTCCAAAAAACACGCTTTTGTAATTAGCCGTACTAAAAAATAGAAAATAAATAATAGTTTAAAAATACTAAAAAAAAAACGCATTTGTAGATAGCCGAACTAATATATTATTAAGA